CCATCTTGCAGCAGGTCTCCAGCTCCAGGCAAGCTGATCTGGACTCAGAGAAAAAGGGTCACACAGCAGGGTAAGTAGGGCTCGGTACAGACACTGCATGGGCGTCTGTAAGGGATGCTGGAGCTAATTTGACACACAGCAGTGAGCACGGAGAGCACAAGCCCCAGGGCCATGCCTGTGCCGGGCCCCGTTGCACATTAGGAACCGTTGGCTGAACCCCTACTGCTCCCTTTACCCTCTTTCTCCAATTGAGTCCCAACAGAGCAGCTCCATAGCCCCACCGTAACTCATCCTGGTCTCCTGTTTTCTCCCAGTGTTCCAGGCTTCCCTCGCCCCAGCTGCTGCAAGGCGCAGCACAGACACAAGGACAGCGTTTGCTGTGTGCTGTGCTCAAAGTGACAGGTCCCTAACCTGGAGCTCTGCTGGTCTGACATTCGTGTGGCACAGAGAAAGGGGTTGGAGAAAGCTGTAGTGTACCCACGGCACCCACATGGGCAGGAATATGGTCTTAGACACATAGCCGAGCCTAAGAAACAGAAAGGCCCAAGCCTAAAGTACCACAACAGCTAGTGGTTTTGCACAAGCTTGCACAGTGTCTGCTATTTACACCAGCCACTGTAAAGGTGGAGTTTGGAGCTCAGGGAGAAAAGGTGGTGGGCCAGGGAGCCTTGGGTGATTCCCAAGTTTGGGAAGAGCAGGGTCTCCAAAGTCCAACTCCACCAGCCAAGCTGGAACAGGGCTGGATGCAAGGACAGAAAGAGAAACCTCAACAGCTGCCCAAACCCATGTACCAGCCTGAAGCTCACCATCCTGCCAGCCACAGCTGGGACCGAGGCTCCGAGGGCAGCAGAGCCAGCCACAGCTCTCCACACATGTGTTGGTCCAGCTTCAGCAGTGAGTCCAGACCTTGGTGTCTGGCTGCCTCTTCCAGCAGCAGCATTTGCTCCCTGCTGGGCTCATGTCTCCCATCGCTCACACCTTCTCTGTCCCAAGGAGTCGTTTGAGTCCTGCCCTGGCAGCGCCCAGGCTTCCCAGTCCCCCCAACATAGCACCACCCAGACAAGGAGCCTGACCCAAATCAGCAGGCAGGATGCTGGGAGGCCGAGAAACAGCATTGATTTTTGGATGGGAGGCAGCGAGGAAGCCTCACGGTGCCCTCTCTGGGAGGGTGCTGCTGCCTGGTGCCAGCATCCTGGGGAGGACAGCGTGATCCCTGCCAGCTCCAACCGGTGCTACACACACCAAGAACCACCACCTGAAAGGCTAAACAAGGCCGAGGGAGCTGAGAACAGATAAGAGATGCTTCTGTTCAAGATGCTGCGGGAAAACAAATCCCTGCACTTGCTGGAGTGCACCGAGCGGCTGCAACCAGCCTCCCGCCCGTTATGGTGGTGGGGGCCACACCATGGCAGCAGGGCAGGGAGGAGAGAGGCCTCTGTTCCTGGGGCAAGGAGAAAGGGGCACTGACATTAATTGGCTGGCAGAGGGTGGCAGCTGGAAATGAAAAGCTGCCATCCCCTCTCAGCCCCCTTGTGTCCCCTCCATGCAGAGGCAGCAGCAGTATGACATTTCTGCGCTGCACACCAAGATCCCAATTAGAGGCGGATGGGTCACATGCTGCACGCTTTAATTAATTTGCCTTTTCCTGTTGGGAGAAGAGCTGCACTGACAGATTGGGACTGAGCAGAGAGGGCAGCTGCTACTGAGCCGGCAGCCTGAGCAGAGGGCAGAGGGGCCGGCTATGGGGCTTGGCTTTGGCAATGCCACGGTAATGCCAGGGGAGAGAGACTCCCTTATGCACCCAGATGTGCCCCAGTCCCTGCCCTCCCCTTCCTGCCCAGCACAGCTCCTGGCTGGCATGTAGAGCTGGGTCCCAGCATCACCCAGCTACAAGGTCACCCCACAGACACACAGTGCTGGCCACATGTGGGGCTTCCACAGGGAACCAAATGGAGGTGCTGGAGATGGAGCAACAGGCCAGCAAAGGAGAGAGGGCAGAAATCACAGGGCTCAGAGGGACAAGCAGGTCTCACCACATTGCTGCACCACCTGCCAGGGCTTTGGCAACCCGCCGTGGGGTCCCAGGTCCCCCTTCCAGGCAATGCTCACCAGCTGGTTTGGTCCCAGGCACAGGAGCGCCGGAGCATTCGCCTGCTGCAGTGGTGCCCGTGCAGGTCAGCACTGTGAAGGATTCATACAAAAGCCTCCTTCCAGCACAGCAGCTCCAACCATTACCTCTTCCTGCTGCCCCAGGCTTCTGGCACCTTCTCTCTTCCCAGCTAACCTAAATAATCTCGTGTCTTCAGCTGTTCCCCCTTCTCTTCCAGCTCATTAGGGCTTTTAGAGAACATTGGCTCCTACCGAACCCGACCAACCCACCATTAACCACCTGCCAAGACTCGGCTGTTACTTTTGACTCTAATTCCCACCTCAAACAGCTTCCATCTCCAGGAGGACTCTAACCTCAGCCCCTGAGGTGACTGTTTCTTTAATAGCCTCTTGTGAGGGACTTTATCAAAAGCCTTTTGAAAGTTAAATAAAGTTCTCTGCACTGTATTACTCCTTTCCCCAGGATTTTGTTAGCACTCTTAAAGGCTCCTGACAGACTAAGGCTGAGAAAAGCTTTTGGTTTTTAAGATTATTTCCTGCTCTTAAGCAGCAAGGCTCTCATTTTGCCTCCTACATTGGGCCAGTAAGCATGCGCAGCTCTGGTTTGGTTTCCTCGGGCATCTCTTGTTGAATTTCCACGTCGCTCGTGGCAGGGCGTCTGCCTCCACTGCGTTATTGCCCATCAGTGAGCAGGTAACCTGCAACGTTTGGGGAAGGAGCCCTTGTCCTAGACATGGGCAATCCCACCGCCTCCTCTTCTGCGCAGGGGTCCAGGCCTCAGGTCATCGTGCGGATTCAGGGGTGTTGCTTGAGGGTATGGGTCAGTTCACCCTGCCCAAACCAACCAAGGAAGGCTGCTGGGCCAGAACAGGGCAGTCCAAGACAGAGTTTCGTTCCACAAGAAGCATGGAAGGCATAAGAAATAACTTGCATTGAGGAGGGGGGAAAGTGAGCCCACGGCATAAGTATGCTCAATTTTCCCTCCTGTCTCCCCTCTTCTCACCCACCCACCTCCCTCCATCAGGTTTCAGGCAGGGATAGAAACTGAGCTTGGCAGACCCTAGGTCTGAAACTCAAAAAAACACATTGCTCTCTCTACATACCAGCCCACCACCACTGAGAGCACCTGCTTAGTTGTGGGGCCACAGCAGGTCATCTACAAAGGCAGCATCTTAAGATTAAGCCCACCCACACCCACTACTCCTGCTTAAAGCCTGTATGAACATGGGAGTCGGGCTGCAGCTGGTACCAGCCCGTGGCCCAGAGCTACAGAGCGGGTCAGGAGAAACACCAAAGCTGCCTGCCGCATCAGGCCTCCATTCTTACCTCATCTGGAAGAGTTTTCTCTACAAGCCTCAAATGAAAAGCTGCTTTGGTGCTGCAGAGATGTCCCGAGTTGATGCCAAAGACAGCGGCTGTGGGTTGCTCCTGCTCCCACCGGAGCTCACTGCCCGCTCTGCCATGGTCTCCCCAGGGGCAGGTCTGGACCACGGGGAATTCCTCAGCAGAGCTGGCTGCAGGCCTCCACACAGCAGCCTGGCCAGGCTGCCCGGCAATGGTGCATGCCAGGATCTGCCAGTGCTAGAGTGAGGCATCCCAGAAGACCCTTCTCTGACCGCAACAGAAATTTCTCTGCAGGAAGCTTGGCTCTGGCTATGGAAATGGACATCTGTAAATGCTCTGCAACACATCTACTGAGAACAGGCCTCAAGGCTCTTCCAGGAATTGTGCAGGGAGAGTGAAGAAGAGATGCCAGGCTGAGATGAAGCAGAAGCAGTTTTTTTCCTGACTCTGTTTTAGTTTGTTTTCAAGCAGAGCAGTAAACAGCTCTGCCTAGACCTGCACTGCCCTGTCTGCCCAAGGCTTCAGCCAAGGAATAGCTCCTCCAGCTCCTGAGTGCCAGCACATCCTCAGGCCACCCCACGCTGAGGCAATACAAGGATGCATGAAACCTTCCTCACCGCACAAGGGAATCCCGTTTTTCAGGCTGCTCTCCTGTCAGATCAGGGACGTGGTTAGCTCAGGGCAGGTTTCAGAGCCTCATTAACACTCCGCAATGAGGCCTGGCAGCAGCTGATTTGATTTAAGGTTCATTTCCAGGCTGTGATTTAAGAGAAGATTTGCTTAATGTTCTCTAACAGACTCTTCTGACTTGGAGCTTGAGTGCTGTCTAATGACAGCCTTATTTATATTGTAATGTCTTTGCAGAGTCTAGAGGAGCTGGGCAGGAGCACAGCAGCTGCCAGCAAGTGTTCAGACAGCAGAGGAAGCATCCCTCACCGCAGAGTGGTAACACCGGGGCATTCCTTTATCCAGAACAGACAGATACTGTGCCCCTTTTCTGCTCTGAGGTCAGCAAGGCAGACCACTGTCTGCTTGCCCAAGAAAGACAGTGACACATCTCTATGTATCTTTTCAAGCGGGATGGTAGAAATGCTCTCTTTTCTCCCCAGTGCAGTTCTTGAATGATGGGAAACGCAGAAGTGCCTGCTCACCTCCAGACTTGTTAAAAGGCCACTTGCAATCAAGATTCCCAAATGCTCCTCACTGTTCCCCAGTTTTGGGCTTCCAACTCACAAGGCTGAGCCTGCTTTCCTCCTGGGAAGGGTGTGGTCATCATCTGACATTTGTAAACTACCTGGAGCTTCTGAGCTGGATGTTCCCATCCCAAGGCTGAACACAGAGACAACCATCACACAAATTAAGACAGTAGGTCAAGCAAGGGTTTGTCATATTTTAATGACATTGATCTTTGGTGTTTCCCTCGTTAGCACTCACGGTCTCCCCGTCCTTCCTCCACAAGCCTGCTAGGGATGAAGAGTTACAAACGAAAAGGAAAATCACATCTGAGACTAAAACCAAAATATCAGAGCCTTGATTTCTCCACTAGAAACTACATGTACAAGGTCAAGATTTCACATGCAACACCTTACATCACAGACTCATACCTCACACCCTGGCCTGGAGCTGAAAGCCATTTCCTGGCCCCTGCCAAGGAGGTGCAGCTCTGTCCTGGCACCATGAAACCCCTGGGATGCCTCATTCATGTTAATATTGGCACAGCTTAGAACATCCTTGTGTGGACTGCATCCTGACTAGAGAGCAATAGCCCCTGTCCCTCTACCTATCTACACAGCAGCTCTGCTTACGTTCCTGTCAAGTACTAAACTAACTCTCTGAAAGGGAAAGATCCCCACCAGTGAGCAGATCCTGAGCCATGCCAGTTTTGACTAAGCCCAGTTCTTCCCAGAAAAGACCACAGTGCAGGCAGGACGGGTCTCAGAACACCACCCTCTGAGGTGGGAGCAGTGCTGTGCCATGGAGCAGGACTGTGGCCTGGAAGACTCCTCCACTCCAGCAATGGAGCTGGAGCATCACGCCCAGGTTTGCCCAGTGGGATTGCCTGTCTCCAAAAGGATGCTGTAGAACCCCTTCCCTTTCTTCACTCTACTGAATCGGCCTCTGGGCATAAAAGGGCAGGAAAGTGGAAAGGAAAGAGGCTTTACAAAGGATGACACTGACCAAATTGCAGGGTTAGGGCTGAGGTCAGGGGATCCCATGGGGCTTCAAAATCTGCATGACGTGCAGCCAAGTATGGTTCATGTTCCTGTTAACTCTTCAGCAGCGGGAATGTTGGAAGTTAAGTATGCTTGCTTCCCCTTGGCTTCCCTTGCAGTCCTTAGCCCTTCCCACTCACCCAGGACAGAGAAGCCCTCTGAACTACCAGCATCCCATCAGAGCCACATGTCCCTACTCTTCCAGCTCCTGGTCAGCTGTGAGGTACAGGTCTCTGCTGAGCAGTACAAGGGTAGCACCAACACATGACTCAAACTCTACCTGTTCCGCGACTCCCCGCTGGTGCTGTCATTACTATAGAAGTTGGTACTGTCAGGAAGATGGTTATTATTAGTTAGGTCACTGTATTCAATTGGTCCCTCAGTGTCCATGGAGGACTGGGCCTGCTCTGGCAGGTCCAGATCACCAGCGCTTTGTCCTTCACTCCCACTCGGGGCTGTCCGCGGGCTCAGGCCATGCTCTGACAGCTGTATAGACTCTGAAAGGATCTGTCCCTCCAGCTCAGCTGCCAGCTGCTGTGAGGTGGACTGCTGTGCTGACGTGCCCTCAGCTCCAGTGGACTCTGCACCAGTCTGAGAGCTCCGGTGTATCCGGTGGCTCACAATGATGTTGTTGCCAAAGCCGCCCATGGACGCCATGGTGGTGCTCTGCTCCCGCTGGACCACAGCAGTCATGCCGCCTTCTGCCATCAGCCTCTGGATCCTACTCAGGGCATCCTCTCCACTGGCCCCATATTCTGGACCTTCACCTGCAAGAGAAAGCAGAAGCAACTTTGATGCACAAGGCAAACCACAACCCAAAGAGAAAGCATGCTGTGTAGATGCATCACACTGTGTGCATGTGCTGGGACAGAAGATGGGTTCTGTTCCAGAGGGAGCCCAACATTTTATTTCCATAACTTTTGGTGAAGTGCCAAACACAGGCACTGAACTCTGTCAAGAAGATCTTGCCTGCAAACACAGGTATCCCTCACAGACTTGCATGTCCAAGCCTTGGAGAAGCAGCTCTTATCTAGCCATACAGGTGGGGAAAAAAGAGGAGTCAAAGAGGGAGTGTGTTTTCTCACAGCTGCAGAGACAGTCCAGCCAGTCCCACAGGGGCATGAAGAAAAACCTCAGTGTGCACTGCAATAAACCAAACATTTCACCATGTCGTTAGAGAGTCCTGCGGCCCTTCCTGCTTCACCTGTTTGAGAACACCCCAGGCAGATGACACAGTGGCAATTTCCCCAGTATCAGGGAGGACACAGGCAGCTGGCCAAAAGCAGACAGCAGCTACAGAACACTATGTGTGCTGCCACATCACCTCTGATCAAAGAAAGACCAAGTGTGTAGGCTCCTGCTCCCCTTGACTGATTTCTTTCGAGGAATGCAAAAAACATCTCTTAAGGTCTAGAGTCTTTGTCTATCTCTAAGCCTTCCCTTCATAGTCAGGCTGTACAGAGCTCTGAGGGAACCATTGTTAGCTGCTTTGGTTGATGAAGATTACTTTTGAAAAACAAAATCTCACAGAGAAATAGTCCACACAGAAGATGCATTTCCCATGGCAGGAAGGTCCCACCCAGTTCTGTTTCTCAGCATCCTCCTTTTGCTACAAACCTTACCCAAATCCTTTGGAGAAAACAATCTGTAATCATAAACTGCTAGAATCATTACACAGTAGGATCCTGATGATTCTTATTAAAGAGATAAATCTCACTTGCAGCTCTGTGAAGCAGACGCAGTGCTGATTAGAGAAGAGAAGAAAGCCATGAGCTCCTCCTGGCACCCAGGAAATGAACACAAATGTCAACAAGGCTAGATGTAGGCAGGAGTTAAAACACAATAAAAACCAAAGTGCCGCACTGACTAGGAAGCCAAAAATCGCTTGGGGCTGTGGGGTGGAGATCATGTACCCAACATGGGAGCTGGGGCACTCAGCATAGGCTACACTATGCCACTGCACAGGTTATTTTTTTAAAAAGCAAGACAGTTAAAGCTGTTAACATGTTACGCAGTCAGTCAGTGACAGCTTTTTCCCTTTCCTCATGGGCTCAGTAGCACTTGCATCAAACACCACCAGCTTCTTCCACAACAGGGCACGGCTAATCCCACCTTCAAGCAAGTCTGCTGACATACTGCCCTGCTGTAGAAACAGAATTGACATTAAGGGCAAATCTAATTTTCACAAGTAGAATACGTCCCTTTCTGCTAGGAATGTAGTAAGCCTGATATATCCAGAATAAATAAAGCAAATACATAGCTCCTTGATTAGAGCATCAGTGAGACCACAGAGACACCAGTGACCACATGGGAATGTGCAGCAGAGCCTAGAGGAGTGATCAAGAACACCCCCTGGGCAGAGCCTGACCCACAACTTTAGCAGAGAAATCCTACTCAGGACACGGCTGGTGCATGAACTAGGATGTGGTTGATGCGTGAACTAGGAACCTGGCTGGCCAGCACAAAGACCCAGAACAGAGACAGCTATTAGACTGGAAACTTCAGTGTGAAAAACACGCATGCCAGGGGATATTGAAGCCTTAATCATGAGCAGAAGTAGGTGGAAGGTTTGAGAAGCATGGTTTTGGATCCAGTCATCGCTTCCTTTGAGGGCACAGTTGTAAGCACTTTGTTACCAACCATCTGGCCAGGCCAGAGAGGCAGCTGGAGAAAGCCAAGATGTACAGCCTGGCTTAGAGGCATGCCAACCAGCCCTCTCTACACAAGTCCTGGAACAGCAGGCGCTCCGCTCTTGACAGACCACTTACTATGAACTGGCCCAATATGGGAGCACTGGACTGTGCATCAGCAAGGATGCCCAGCCAATGCTCCTCAGCATCCCAAATCCGTGCTTCACTGGAGGAGTCCATGCAGGCAGTGCACACCACAGCACCTCCTACTCTTCCCTGCCCCTTAACTACCATGTGCCACAGCTGAATTTCCAGTTGAGACAGCTTCTTGCTCAGAAAACAGGCAAGGGCTGACACCACAGCAGAAATCAGCAAGTCACAAGCCTTCAAATTACAAGCACAGAGATCCAGCAGTGTTGGAAATTCCAGAAAGTCTGTCAAGGGCCAGAAGTGAGCCCTACCATTCAAGCAGCCAACAAGCACCTCTGCTTTGGGGGCTGTCCTCCCCTCTTCCACCCCTCGACAATGGCTTTGGCTGACTAGTTCAGAGGGAAGCTTCCTGCACAATTTACCTTGAGCTGAGCCACAGCACAGATTCACATCCAGCCCGTTTCCACTGCCTGGTGACTCCCATACGTGTTCTTTCACCAGGCTGCCAACGCAGACTACATTAGTGCTTGGTACAAGTGAAAGAAGCTAACTTCCATTTGGTGGAGGTCCAGAGTGTGCACGCAGGCACTTACCCAAAACAGCAGCAATGCCGTAAACCCCACACCTCAGACTGACAAAAGTTTCAACTTGCTGCACTGGCCAAACCCCATTCCCTGCTCCACCAGCTGAACAGAACCAGGACAGAGAGAAACACCATACTCACAACACTTTTTTCAAACTCCAAAGGGTTCAGGCATACCCAGAGCATGAACCTGAGCTTCTGCTGGACGAGCAGGCCAAACGACAGCTCATCTAAATTCTCCATACAGAGAAGGCAATTCCTCTTCTCTCATTTTTTGCTCAAAACTACATTCTGATTTCCCAGGCCCTGTAAAATCCTTTATCTTAAGCTCTCATTCTTCTAAGCCCATCTTCTAGAGTCAGAAAAATAGAAAAACCTTACAGAGCACTACAGACAAAATCTAAAGAACTGAGCCAACCAGCTCCAGTATGTGAAGTACCAATGTGAGCATAACAGCTGCCAATTTGTTCCCCACCTAGGCTGACCCTGTACCAGAATCCATCACAGAGCAGGAAGCAATCTTCAGAAAGTCTTGCATCTTTTTCTGGACAGAGACACAAGTTCTGTGCCTGACAGGACAGAAAAGCATCATCCATGGCTCTCTTCTGCAATACAAATAAGCATTACTGTTGTGTCCACAGTGCTGTGCTCCTACAAACCTTTTCTACTCTAACCAAAGTGACCTTCCCAGAGGTCCAAAACCCCATCTATCCCAAACACAGACACAAAACATTACTCTTGAGAGTTATTATCCCAAAGACCAGAGGGCTTCTGTCAATCTATCTGACTGGCTCCAACATTTAACAAAATACTCCCTAGCTAAGACACCTGTCTTTACAAGTCCTCTGACATGCTACTCTGGCAAGTCAAGAGTTTGACACAGAAGACTACAAAGGTGAAACATCTGGCAAACTTTCAGTGGAGCTGGGCATAAGGCAGAAACATTTCCACTCTTAAATTAAGTGGTCTATGAAGTACTTACAGGGAGTATAACCTGTTTATCCCTGGGCATGGACGGCACACACCCACTAAAAAGCAAAGCCCACAGAAGCAAGGATGAGATCAGGCTCCTCTGTGGCTGTGAGATATACTGACATCGCTCTTGAATTTTTTCCTATTTTCAGCTTTCCTCTTTCTAAAACCAGCAGTAGTTAGTACCCCTGCTTGCAAACAAAGCTTCAAAATTAGAACTAAGAGTAAGCACTGCAGAGATATCCAAGTCTTCAGAGAACACAGAATAATAGCTCTGAGGTGTGAGCTGACCCACTAATTCAGATGCTCAAAGATAAAAATATCAGCATCCTTAAATTAATTCACTCTTTGCATAAGAATAGGAAAGAGAGGGTCACAGCACGGCATAAGCAGCTATGAATAATCACATCTCCCTTGGTGCCAGAAGAAATACTACCAGTTACTTTTTTTTCCCAACCAAGCTCAGAAGCATGTTTCCTTTTTGAGGTAGTTAATCCAAACAACTGCACAGAACTCAGAAAAGACACAATTGCTTTGACTTCTAACAAATTTCTTAGCAATATCTTGCCTTGGTGATTCGTACAAGTGAAACTTTTTAAATGATAGTTTAAAAGTAGTCCTCATAATTTAATCCCAAGAGAGACAGGTACTTGGAGCAGCTCACACATCTTGCATAGCACATGCTTCCAGAACCTGACTCTATTTTTTAGGTAGTGCTTTTCAGAGGACTAAAGAGAAACATAAATCTGCAGTTCTACAGAACATACGATGCACATTTTACAGATAGATGGGCAGATGAAAGGCTAAGAGATCTACAGTGAATGAGAGGCAGATCTGGAAGCTGATCCCTGCTGTCCTCATTCCCATTTCCACACTGATCGTACAAAAGTCACACCACACCTGACAAGAGCATTGCAAGAATGTGTTCAGCTAATGTAAAACAACATGCTTCTTTTTAGCATTCATGAGGCTCAGCTGGGGATGGTATTCCTGCCCATACAGCCTCCCGACACATGTTCCTAATGTCTCAGATTAAATTACATCACACGCAGGCATACTGACTCCGCTCATCCTCAGGAAAGTTTCACTTGCATGTGCTGTCTTTTCACTACTAACAGTCTGAACAGACTGAATCCCACACACCCAAGCCTTCATTTCACAACCCTTTTCCCTCTCAGAAGTGTCTGCTGCAACCTCTGAAAGCAGTTGGACGTGATGGAAATGGACAGCATGGGAATACTATCAAACAAATGTCCTGCAGCTCTGCAAAGGTCCCCTTCCCTCAGCCTGCAGCACCTTTTGCACAGCTGCAGTCCCTGGCAGTCACTGCCACTTGCACCCTACTCCACAGATCCAGCAGCCTGAACAAGTGGCAGCCACAGCCTGACCCAGTCTGGACTGGGAATTACAATTTCTAAAGGTTAAAGCTTTGGCCATTAAATCTCATTAGGAATTTTTGTTGGTTGTTAAGTGAGATTGAATTAGCGAGTTGAATCCAGATCCCTTCCCCATCATGCCTGTCCGTTTGCAAGTGAAAGCACAGTATCACAGAATCACAGTATAGAATATATAGCATGTATATAGTGTATGTACATTAGTATAACTCCTAACAGATTGTTTCTAATTAAGAGTGCCTCAAAGTTACAACTCCCTCACTATTTCCACTATGTTTGTCAGCTTAAAGGAAAGTAGGAGACAGCTGAAACACTGTTTTAGGCATTTCCTAGTTCCCTCTCAACTCAACTTCCCTTGGTTTATGTGTGGCTTGGGAGCAGAGTTCACAAGGCAGCTATCAACTGCTGCAAAACAAAAAGATACAGATATTACAGGGATTCACTTCTAACAGAGTAATCATATACTCATTCCTCCAAAGGAGGTAGAAAGATAATCAGAACAGCAAAGTCCCCGCAGAGCTTTGCATGAGAAAAGGAAACTATTTATACCCACACAGAACTTAATTAGATTTCTGATGCAATTCTGCATACTTTTTTTTTTTTTTGTACGGTAAGCACATATCTGCAAGAAATGCCCTGAGCCAGAATTCCCCAAACAGTGGGGCTGACAGGACATAGGACAGAAACCCACTCTTGGGGGTAGCACTAGCCTTTTTTTTTTTTTTTTTTTTAAGAAAAAACCAAAAACATTCAGGGGCATTTTTTGGTTTTGTTTCGTTGTCCACCACTTCCCCCCCTCCCCGACGAGGTGATAACTAAAACACTTTACATTACTCAGAATCACATCTGATTTATCCATTCTGCTGCTGATAATACCGTTAAGCCCTTACATAGTGATTTCCATCTTCAAAGCCCCATACAAAACACTAATTAATCTTCACAGCCCCTGGTGTACTGTACTACGGGAAGATTTATTCCCATCTGGTAGATGATTAATAATTTGCCCTAGGTCACACACCAAGTTAGTTGTAGCACATTTCCCTCCCCCCCCTTCCTGTCCCTGACATCTAGATCCTGCTATTAGGAAACACTGTTTCCCTTTCAATGGGCAAAGAATTATGGTAGATACAGTGGCCAAATTAACCACCAGAAGAACAGCACAGCATGTATTCTAGCCTGCCTGAACACACTGGACAAGCACCACAAGAGTTTATGATGCTGGAAAACCAGTAACCTCAACGTCACAAGAAGTGCAATGGGGCTCAAGCACAATGGGAAGCACAAAGCCTCTTGGATGAACCAGACCACTGATGCCGCAAGTCCCTGGCTAAGTGGCTGAGGTGTTGGTAACAGCAGCTGAAAACTTGTCTTTCTGCTTCATTATAGGTTCTTGTACTATTCCTTTGTCATGGATTACAGTGGGTTTTTGGATCCTACACACTCCTGATAGTTAATGTCTTAACAGCTCCTTGCTTTGAGCTGCTCTTGAGCCTTGGCACAGGAATTTCCACTGAGGATGCAACCGGCATAAGAACTGATGAACTGCAGGGTAAGACTGCCTGGCTCATCTCCAGTGCATGCGTCCATACTGGAATAACTCCTTTGCTTTAAAGGTCCTTATACAGGAGACAAGGAGTGTGACAACCCATTTTGCAGGTGAAGCCACTTGCAAGGGGACATGCAGTCAGGCAGCATCTGAGCTATAAATCATACCTGATATGAAACCTGCCAATCTTCTTCTAAGCAAGACCAGGAGACAAAGAGAAGTCTCTGTCCTAGGCTTGTTATTTATGTGCCTTTTCTTCCAAATGCTGTATGTTTTGCTTCTTTGTAAAGTTACCCTGCCCAAGCCACTGGTAATGGACAGCCGTTCCCCATCTCATTAATGGTCTAGTTAAAAACCATGATCTAGATCTGAAAACTGAAGGGTTAATTAGAAAGAATGAGATAATGAAACCTTGAGAAGATTGCAGAACAGCAGCAGAGAGAAGCAGCACTGGAGAACTCCACTGGTTTAACAGAGCAGGGAAAGACCCCCAAGCCTGCAGCATCACCTGTCGCGGCCTTGATGCAAGAAGGTCCCACAGTGTACCCTGTTCTCAGTCTGCATACCACTTTCAGTGGAAGAACCAGTTCCCACAAGTCCAGCATTTGTCCAGACATCATACATTGCAGCCTTATTCACACGCCCTCAACAGTACTAACCTTCCAGGAAGGTTAATCTCAGCTCAGCTGAGATAAGCAGACGGGAAACCCCACAGGTCAGGAATTTGCCACTTAACTTTGAACAGAACAGCCAAGATCAGAGAAACACAAAGCCTTATCACATATGCTGGGTGCTGCACAGCAGAAACCATGGAAGAGTCACATGCCAAAAAGCATCTTTCAGAGTGACAGAGCACAAGCAAGCATACAGGCACAAACAGGCATGTCATGAGCTGCTTCCCAAAGACAAGTAGGTTCATCATGAACCAATAACTTCAACACTGTCTCCTTGATTTTCTGTCTTTCCAATATATATTCTGCCCAGCTCCTTCCTAGCCACGCTTTCAGATTCAAGCAACATGTTACAGTATAGAGACAAAAAAACCCGTACAAAATCATAATGCTTTCAAAAAATCAGTGACCTTATAATCATATAGGAATTGCACATCAGCTGCTTCCAGCTTTTCACATATTCATAATTTTTCCTGGACTGAAAAACACTAAAGAGACATTTTTTAATAGCTGAGCTGGACACTCATTTCAGCCTTCACCAGACTAATGAGAATAGTCATACCTGCTTTGTGAGAAGTGATTTACAGTATTTTATTTTGCATTCAGATGCTGAGCTTGTGAAGATAGAGAGGTTGAAGGACCAAGCTAAACTCTTAACCCAGAGGCAGAAAGGATAATTCTTAACAGTTTGCAGCCTTACTGATGGTTAGAGTTCAGGAGATCTGTGAGAAGTGAAGCCAGTACAGCTGGTTCTACAAAGACACAACTATCTTAAGCAGAGTTCATTTTGCCCTCTAAAAGCATATGAAAAAGACAACTTCTCTATTCATATGGACAGCTTCACTCTCCTGATTATCCTGGCCTGGCTACAGGCAAATTAGGCTGGAGAAATCTTTGCTGAAGAGATAACAGGAGCATCCAAACGCACTGATAGGGTGTGGAACTTATGTGGAAATTCCCCATTCACCAGGTAAGCTCTATCAGATAAATCACTGCGTGAGCTCCTACCTTCCCCAGTCCCTGCAGAGGCGGATTCCTGCTCCTGTACCTCCCTCTCTGTCTGAGTCTCGGCATTCTGCAGCTGAGGCGCCAAGGTCTGGGTACCCTGCGAAGTCACAGAGGTGGGGGGGTTTCGGGGTTGCAGGCCTATGGCATTCATCAGGCCCATGTCCCTGTCTGTCCTCCATGTGGCTCTGCTGGTTCTGAAAAGAGAGAAAAACAAATAAGACCAGGAAGGAGCATTGGAGGCAACGTGCCCCAGCAAGACTGAAGCATCCACCTGAGCCTCTTCTTGCCCTGATTACAACCAGGCACCTTCTAGCCCCTGTGTAGATGAGGCTGGAGAGAATTATGACCTGCACTTATTTACACATACAGAGACACCCTTCTCTAGCCTCAGCTGGCTAGTCTCTCAAATTTTAAGCCAACAGAGTCTGAGAGTCAACTCACCCTTCCATAGAAGCAGCGTATCTGACAGGCATGGATAGATATCCCTGCAGCATCTCTAAGCCTGCAGAACAACTCTGTCTTGGGGTCACCGAGTTGAGTGGGGAACACGACATGCAGCGCAGGACTATAAATGCACAGACAACCTCCCTCTGCACTTTGGCAGGGCGGTTTTAACTCCCAAGGACGCAGCCTATATCCCTTCCCTCCTCCGGACCTCCTAGTTTGTCAGCATCACACATGAATGCACTCCAGCAGGCATTTCTACCCATTCCAGTTGGACAAGAGAAATTTGCTCTTCTCAAAAGCAAACAACAGGAACTGCCTCAAGGCTCATTAGCTTCTCCAAATCGAACAGTTGAAGTGTACGACGCTACGAGAGCTGAATCTTGACAATGCTTGGATGCTCTTTCCAAAACTGACCTCTGGCTCTAAGTGCCCGGAATGGTAAAGAGATTCTAGGAAAGACTGCCTTGTTCACAACCTTTTTTCATAAGATTTTGAAACCTGCCACTCCTTTCTTCCTCTCTCTTTGAGCTAGTTCTTAAGCAGATTTTCTGCCTTCAAGCTGCTCCTAAGCCCATCTTGCAAGACCGGTATGTGTTGGCAAAAAACGTGAGTAGTGGCAATACCCACTCACCTGGCAGTGTAAAGAATCTCTACTGCTTATTTTTCACCCTCAACCAGACCAAGGCTGTAGGACAGCACAGATGTTGCCCTGTACACCAGCTCCTAACTTCCTTGGGATCCTGGAGCTCACAATTCAGAAGCAAGACTGTTGCTTTCTTGCTGAGAGCAGCTGGCTTATGGAGTACTTGTCACTGAGGCAAGAAGCAAGGTATTGCATCACCCTTGTGTTTAGAGTCACTAACGTCTGCATCACTGGACAGACTGGATGAAGCAGCCAATAGCGCTGTCAAGGGATTTAGCTTTATTTTTAGAGTTTATTGCTGAGAAACAACTGTCCCATGACCAGAAACTAAAGGGATGAAAGTCAGTCACCAGGACCACCCAACAGATTTGCAAGCATCTTTGTGAAACCCTCCATTCTTCAGTTATCCTCCACAGACCATTTACTTTCCATGGCGTTTTTGATGATCTGAGACCCATGTTCCTCCCGCAGCTTGCTTATGAGTGACACACGTGCTTCACCATCACTGGCAGCACCAAAGGAGGGAAAAATTGCATATTTAAAGTTACCAGTGTGAAGGGAAGAAAGACGAAGTGGTGCTGTCAGACGTAACAAAAGCAGCAGAAAGGGTCGGGTCTCTAACCCACACCCAGGAGACTCACCCAGGCCGCTCAGTGCTCCTGCTGCTGGAATGCACAGTGAAGACATTCTCATTCAGCTGGTCCCAGTGGTACTCAACTCCAGAGTTTAAGGCCCTTAAAACACCAAAGAAGGAAAAAATATTAGAATGGCAAAACACAATTCCAGCCAGCACACATTGCATTCGCACAACATGAAGGACCAGTGTTGATTCCTGCCCTAGAGAAACTGCAGATTGAGCTCAGTTCATGTTTTCATTAAAAGGGCTCATCACCATAAACACCCTTGCAAACATGGAGCCCTGTACATGGCCCTGGAATGTCCCATTCATTTCAGTTCAGTATTAGCACAGAGGCACAGCAACAGGAGCAGAGAGACTTTCAGGAAATGAAGACACACAACTGTGTGTATAAAATCAGTCTGCCCTAACTCCAGGTGACTAAACAAAGAACTGGTGTGAGAAGGCAAATTTTCTCTGTGGTGCCTGCCAGCATTTCCTGCAATAGGTAATGCTAAGGAAAACACTGCTCTTATTCAATGTTTAATTTCTTCATAAATGGTTCTCATTCTACCTGTAAGTAAATCTCTATACAGCCTTCCCACTGACAGTCATTGTGGAGCAAAGGCGGATGTAGAGAATATTTTTAATAAGTTTCCACAAAAGAGTTTACACTGGATCAACTATGTGTGTGTCCAGAAAGTCTAAAACTTTAATTTTACAGCTAATGCTACCAGGTTTAACAGGACAGCTTTTCACAGTGCATTTCCCAGAAAGATACACGAAGCCAGGGCTGGCTAATCACTTCAGAGGAATAGGGAAGGTTAACAGCGTATTGCTAATCATCACATCATTGCTGAAACTGCGGACAATCACAGAAACTAAACCACCATAACCAGAATGCTGTAAGTGCATCCCCCAGGATTTCTGATGCTCAGCAGCTCTCAGACTGGAAGAGGACAAGAGCAAACCCAGCTTACTCTGTGCCATACAGGAATCCCAGAG